GCTCCTTATTTTGTGATTAAATGTTAGATGTTTTTCTTCTCTGGTGTTGAAGGCTGCGCAGCTAAAGTAGAAGTATATTAGCTTATGCCTCTTCAAATTGGGACGTGAAGTCCTTTCTTTTTTTTTTTTTTTTTTTTTTCTTTGACCCAGACACCTGATGACCGTTGCCACATCATAATTACTGATTTTAGACATTGTATCCCTTCATCATATAAAGTTTGTTTATGTAAAAATAAAAACATACTATTGTTAGGATGCCAAGATGTTGTGAGCTGCTAGATTCACTGGGTCTCACTGACCTGAGGTCAGCCCACTTTGGCTCTTCTGTTGAAGCAGAATAAATCCTGATGTTTTCAGACATGCTTGGTCTGTCTGTCCTGCAGACATCTTTGAACTTTAGCTTTACTCTGACGTAGCTTTGGACACATTTTCGAGACACAAATGAGTCAGATATACTGAACCTGATCATTAAGATTGTTTATTAAAGTTTTGTTTTACAGTTTTTCGTTCCCTCTTAAAAGCAAATGAATCTCTTCAATTGATACTTAATCTTTATTTGACAAGTTTCTGAAATAAATGAATCAAACCAGGGTAATTATATTAGAATGAATGCTTCTCTTCTTGTTGTTGTTCCTCAAAGCTTTCAAGAGAACAACGTTCTGCAGATCCTGATTGGTCTGCTTACTGATCAGCCTGAAGAGGTTCTGGTCAATGTAGTGGGAGCTCTGGGACAGTTTGCTCAGATACCAGCTAACACAACAACCATCTGCAGGGGTGGGAGCATCAAGATCCTCATTAATCTGCTCAAAGGAACAAACCAGGTATGTTATGTTGCTTCTTATTGTAGTTCTTGGTCAAAGTCCCTCCATTGATCCATGCATGTGTTCTCTGTCATTTAACCAGGCTCTGCTTGTGAATGTAGCCAAGGCTGTGGGAGCTTGTGCCACAGTTAAGGACAACGTGGAGTAAGTTTGCCTCTTCCTGTTCAATGTTATCTTTCCTGTCTTTCCATTTCCAGTAGTTTCATATGAGCCGCCTGGTAAAATGTGATCAGTGGCTTATTTACCATCATCAGAGACTCAGCTTAAACTTATTCTGGGCCCTTTGTTGATGTCTCATGAGACGTCATGGGCTGGAGTTTTTCAGTTTTTTTTGCAGGTAGGCGTCTCTTTCATCCTCAGCCTAATCACAGCTTTAAAAAGCTGTCTTTATTGTAGCTGCTGTGTTAAATATGGCTGTGGTTTTATTCTCCATGTTTTACTGTAGCCATGTGGTCACTGAGCCTAAAGCCCTGCCCCGTCCAACCCTCTATGGTGGGAAAACCCAGAGAACCAGAGTCCAGAGCGGTGGCTTTTCTCTCTTCATTTAACCTCAGCCTGTTTGGCTGCACAGTATTGTGGAGTTTCCATCTGAGCCTCATTGCTTTTACAAACCTGTTACAGACTAGAAGAGCTAAAGACGGAGACATAAAATAAATGTGATCGTCCACACGAATGCATGAAAACGCTGCAAAAT